TTTCATCCTCTCAAGTAAGATTGGTGATATTCCAACGGATGGTGATATTCAAGTAGGATTGCTGATATTCCATTACGCTTCACGATTGGCTAGATAGCATCGACTAGGGATTTGAGATGCCTTTTTGTAGCACCATAGGGAATGGTTAAAAAGAAGACACAGAGTTGTGCTTGATTTTCATTGTCAATGATAATTTGATCTAAATTTTGAAAATGCATTTGGTTAGAAATTCATTTTCTAAAGTTATTCCAAGCAGCCTTCAAAATCTATTTTGGGAGAGAAACAACATAGTTACTCCTTTATAAAGAATTTTGATTAATCTTGGATAATGAGAAAAAATAGAGATATGTGACGATTAGGTGACTTCGAAGGAAACAAACATGGTTGCGTTATTATTCTGTAAAAAGTTTCATCAAATCAACATTAGGTTTTGTACAGGGTTCCCAGACAGATTTGAGGGAGAGTAGTCCGTCTAGATTCCGTTTCTGTTTCCGCGTCGAGAGCTATCTAAGATTCTGCAACCTTCCAGTTGCGTCGGTTGGAAGAAATAATCACTTACCTACCAATTTTTGCATTCCGCTTCCATGGTTTTCCTTTAGATGTTGCTTCAGGTCTAGGGAGCCATTTTATTTATAAAGATTATGAAGGATAACAAGTCTGATGATCAAACTATCGGGTTTGGGTCATTTCTTTACAATTTTGGAACAAGTGTTTAGTAAATGAAACTATGGCAAAATGTTGATTAGTTATGTATTGCTTGCCCTAAACAAATACTCCGTACTATGCAGTGGCATGTGTAGGCAGCGGTCACTTTTTCTACAGAGCTTACACACTCCCACACTAGCAGTGGCATGTGTAGATACCCTTTTTCCCTTTACATGTTTATCAATGTTCCTTTTGTTTATTGAAAGGGACTCAAAGTGTGTGTGCACACATTCTATCCAGACTCCAATCAATGTGATTTTATTGAGTTTGTTGTTATTTTCCCAGCTCATAGTTAACCAGCAAGCTATTTTGACACATACACAATTGTTTTAGCTTTGAAGGGCGTTGCAGAGATCTTAAAGATTTTCACAGTAGGCTTCAAACTTTTCGAACAGTAGGCTTCAATATTTTCACAGTTGGCTTCATACATTGGAATCAGACTATACACATGTGTTTCCATATATTATTTATATTTGATAGATGAATGAAATGTTATTTATTTTACAGGGTTCTCTATTTTTGGCATTCCTTTTATACTCTTTCCAACAGGTGATTTGCTTACACAAATTCTACTTTGATCAGTTTGATGGTTAGAAATGAAATAAAATGAATAAAGTCATACTTTTTTACCAAGCCGCTGAGTGCTCTATATGTTTGAATATTGTCTTACTCTTGAAAACTCTGTTTATGAGGTACACTACTCTTTTAGTGATGATTGAAATCCGTGATGTCCCTAAATTGTTAAAATTCGGTCTAACAGAAGGTTTTGTGCAGTTTCGTATGAGGGAACCACAGATGTGTAACATTGCATGTCATATTGTTCTTAATGCAAAAACAGAAAAAGAATTTAAGAAGAAGATAGATGATGGATATCAGGTGAGCATGTAGGGGGAACAATTAAAAGTTCTCTTGATGCTGTTTTTTTCAACTGTATGATAGTCAACGGTGTCTGATTTAGTACTTGAATGTAACGGGATTGAATTCTTTTGCATTCGGGAATCCACGAATGTAACTTGAATGTAACAGGATTAAATATAAAGTGAGAAAGCCACCAGACTGAGCATCAGTTATTCTTCGAATGAAGGTTAATTGGGTATCAAATTGCAGCATGGAGGTAATTTCACTTATTGATTTCTTTCTGATTTCTTCTTAGTTGAAGTTCTATTTCCAACTATGATGTACTTGCTTCTGTCTAACAGCTTTGAAGGTGTCTCCTCTCGCTCGAAGCTATTTCCTTCTACCTGAAGATATCCTTTCGCAAGCGCTCTTTTCCCATCATTTATTTTCAAAATATACATCAAAATTAGAGTAGTCCAGTCGCTACCACTACTTAGGGTATTTCCAAATCTCTAATTTCTTCTTTGTTCTCTTTCTTGAAAAATAATTTGTTACAATTAAAAATATGGCCTACACGCTGACATTTTTCTACATAAATATATTCAGATTCCTTGAATGTAGATCTCATACTATATCATAGTTACCACCTGCAAGTGAAAAACTATATCATAGTTACCACCTGCAAGTGAATGTAGATCTCACACTATATCATAGCTACATTTAGAAAAACCATTGAATGTATACTATATACAAATCTAAGAGGATTTAGAAATAGTGTCCCTGCCAGG